ATATAATATAATATATATAATATATGAAATTATATAATATATAATATATGAACTATAATATTTATAAAATTTATATTATATTGTTTTTAAGAGAAATACTTACAAAACTCGTAACTCGCTGCAATTTCGTAAATTTGGCACCTCTGTTAGAAAATTTGATTTCATATCACTAAAAATTAATTAATAATAATTAATAAAACATGATTCTATATCAAATGTTAATGAATTATCGGGATACAAAAATTGAACTACTTACAAACTTTTCAATTTTGGACATTGCTCGCATAAATTTTTTGGAACATTCGTCACTTGTGCGCGATCTAATCTCAATACTTCCAATGATTTTGTCCCATTCAAATTAGGAAATATCTGTAGTTCTTTTAGATTCGACAGGATCCTAAAAAAAAAAAAAAAAATATTTTCGTCATTTTCTTTAAACATGCATATACAATGTTGATTGCGATAATTTAATTCCAAGATATTTTCCATTTTAAATAGAAAGTACAAACCATCATCCATACATTACGTAAAGATTTATCTATCTATCTGACAGTTGATAAATCGCTTATCGAATAATCTATACTCACAGTTTACGAAGCTTGCATAGATTATGAAAAGTGTTCCCGTGTATTTCTTTGATAGGATTTCCGCGTAGGTCAAGCGACAATAGATTACTGACACGTCGAAAAACATGCTCCTCCAAAGTTTCGATCCGGTTGTTCGACAGCGACCTACGGAACCGATAAAGCATACACGAATACGACTTTCTTGGTTTCCTTCGTTTTGGTGAAAACGAAAAACAAAAGGAGCGGAGCATCGATCGATCGATCGATCTCTCTTTCGCGATTCTAATTTTTAATAAGTTTCCTTTTTCTTTTTTTGCATTTGTTATCACTTATGTCAAAAGATATAAAAAAAAAAAAAAAATTAGTGTTTTATAAAATTTAAGTAATCATGATCACTCTGTGATAAACTATAAATTTTGAATATTTATCTTTCTTAAACGAAAATTTTTCTTTTCTTTAAAGATCACAATTTTCATTTTCGTGATTCGAAAAATATTCTCTAGAGTGATAATGATTTAACAGACAAATAATTTTTTATCGTATATTAGAAAATTCTTCTCGATATTTTGATCGAGATATCGCCATATGAATATTAAATTTTCTAATCGGCCATGAATGTAAAACGCAGCTCGATAAGGAAATAGTATTCATAGAATGTAAAAAAAAGTTGTCAAATTACATTTTACTTAATCGATGCACACTTACAGGTCTTCAAGGCCAGAGAGCTTTACGATCGCGGTTGGAATTTTTGTTAAATAATTGTCATCGAGCTCCCTACAAAGCAGACAGAGAATTATAATTTTTTTAAAAATCGCGGCCACGATCCCATTTTATCTTCTTTCACTTATAACGAATTGTCCGCCTTTTCTTTTTATGTTTTTATTATCACTTTTTTCCCCTTAATTTCTTTATTGATTAACTGAATGAAATTAATTAATTTTTTTTTCTTTTTTAATATTTTATACATTTGTTATATAAACAAAGTAATATAGATTCTCTTTCTTTTTCTTTTCT